GGAGCCATTTGTTAGTAATATGTGGTGTTTGGGTACAGGGGTACTGTATATCAGAAAATAATTAATCAAGGTTTTTTAAAAATTGAATTTGTCATTAAATTTTTAATGACAGATCCAAGATTTACTTATTTCTTAAAATGACAGATATATGAGCTTGCTAATGGTTTTCAGTGATGTACATTATGTGAAGTGCTATTTCTGCTTTACACTTTGGAGTATTAATAGTTTGTTAGCCCACATAGGACATATTGTGCTATTTTCTTGGATAATCCAAAATTGTGAGAGGGGAAAAGGTTTAGAGATTTATTTATTTATTTATTATTATTTTTTTTTTGCCCATTAATTGTCATACAGTTACCATACATCTGAATATATGAAAAAATAATCTAACAACTCACACTTCACTATACCAGATATGCTCATATGCTCATTCTGTAAAAAACAGCAGATACAGCAGGCTAGCAACGGCAGATAAGTTTTTCCTTGCTTTTCAATTAACTGTTTTTTTTTTTTTTTTGTGGTAACTTATTCGTGTACATTTTCAAATGTGTCTGCTTCTCACTGTAATTTATGGTACTCCTTGAGGAAAATCGAACATGTTGCATTCTCATTTTTATATTTTATGAATAATGCATGACTTTTCATTCTTAGTCATCTCTCATACAGATCCAAAACCTTTCTGACCATTTCTTATACGAGTCTCTGTCTTGACAGACAAACCTTGACTGAAGATCTCATGGGTGATGGTCAAGTAGAATAAATTCATCAAAGTTAATGTTCTGTACACATAATGCGGTTGCACTTTATTTTAAAGTACGTGTACTTACATGTACTTACAGTGTACCTACATAAGAAAGTTCTGGTAATATTAGGTAACTACATGGGGTAGGATTAGGTTTAGGGGTAGATTCAGGGTTAGTACCTACAGTAGTTATTGTAATTACTATAATAAGTACAAAGCATGTACATGAGAAACAGGACTGTAAAATAAAGTTCTACCCATAATTCGCTACACACAATTACTTGCTAAAAACGATAAATATCTGAAAACATGGTGATGCCACAATGTACTATTAAAACAGGCAGATTGTTTGTCAGATACAATTTTGATTCTTCTAACTCCAGTTCATTATGGTAATATTATAATAAGTTACAGTACAACATTATAGAATAAGGATATTACCAGATGACTTGATAGATTTCTAAATATGTAAAACATCTAATAAAATGTGTGATTTCTGCAAAATACTTGTATTGACATAATTTTGATTTTATGCTTGTCAAAAGTTAATTCCATCTAAACTTAATCGAACATCAAACTGAGCTTTGTGGAATAATTTGCAATATAGTAGGTATATATTGTTTCTAAGCTTATTAGTAAAGTAATATTTAGTTAAAATTAAGCACAACTAAAGCCTTTATGATTCTACAAACATCTGTAGTATGCAGTTGATCACCATAACTTCATCTGCCTAGAAGAGTAGCTCCACCTTGATGAGATGATTTAGGCAAATTTGCTGATTTTGTAGAGATTCATTGTTGTACTGTACAATCAGTAATAGTAATTGACACATGCTGCTTAAATTGTATAATTCAGAATATTCCTTTAATGTCTGCTGGTTAACAAAAAAGATCAGATAAGGAGAGTGAAACATATTGTTTTCTTTTTGTTTTATTTTGCTATTAATGCATGCTATATGTATATGCTGTCATTGCTGTGGAAAAATATGCTTATTAACCAAATATCCTTTTCAAAAAATTTTTTTTCTTAAATCTCACTTTGTAGTACAAAGTGAAGAAATGTACCAGCCTGTATGGGATTAAATAATCTAGAGTTTGCCCAAACCATTTCTGTATCATCAGTTAAACTATTGAAATTGTGCATGCTATTGTTCATTACAAAGTACGCTGAATGTTTCTTCGCAATATAAAAACCTCAGCACAGTTTCACAGACATACATAAACTTGCAAATCCATCACGCATCACATTTGCCAAAAAAGTTGAGAAAGGCTTTGGACAGGCTTTTTTCCTAATATTACTTTTATTAGGTCTAATGGGTATTAAAACTAAACATGTCATTTAAATTGTGTTTGCATCAGCTGCCACAATTTAGAACAAGTATCAGCAATCCATTATTTTACTTCAGAGGTGTAAAGTATTTGAGTAAATGTAATTCATTACTGTACTTAAGTATTTAGACACTGTATTTTTATCAAAGATATTAGCAACTTTTACTCTCTACTTCACTACATTTTTTAATATGTATCTGTACTCTTTACTCCACTACATTTGTAATGAGTGTTGCAATTACACATTACATTTTGCATGGCACCTCTTTTTTTTTTTTTGCAGCAGATTATTTCTGCTACAAAAGAAGTGATATCGCCATCTACAGGGCACTGAAAGTACTATAGACCCCTTTCAGTTAGTAAACAATGTGACGTTTTTCTGTGGGCGGGGCCTAGACGGAGGCAGAAATATTCTCCTGACCGCTTTACTAACGCTAGCTATGAAGTTTTGTTAGCTTGTTTTTTAACACCGATTTTACCTGAACATGTAAGGTGACAGCGATTGTTTTTTGAAAAAGTTAACTTTAACGAACGAAACCAGACAGGCCGACCCGTACACACTCAATCAATGGACGATCTGACAGGATTACCTCCTGTTGAGTGACTCACAAAAAGTTAAACATTTAATGTAATGGATATAATTTGAAGATATATGTAATGTCCAAATAGTTATTTTAACGTATATCTCCTGTAAATTATATAAGTTTACAGTGACATTACAGTACCTTTACATTACATATAGGCTACATTTAAAGTAAGATGTGAATATTTTCTAGAAATAAATAAAAAAATCCAGAAACTGCAAATTTTGAAATTGTATTTGATTATTCTTTCTTACCAAGTTCTTAAAAAATTCAGCCACAATCAATCACAGTGTATACACAATTACAAATGATTAAGCATATCGTCAGTTTGTTGTTTTACACACGCACACAGACTTTCATACACGACATAGGCTACTCTTGCATGTTGTGAGATCCAGCATAAGAAATCTTTAGACGCATAACACAAAACATAATCCATAACAACAAAACACAATACTTTATTTAACCTTTTCTGATAAGAAGTGTGCCCTACAAACGTGAGCATTTTTGATGATCGTTTCTGTCCAGTCCGCTCGTTTTATTGCGTTAACCACAGCTGTCGTCGTTTTTTTTGTCTGGCAATGGCTGGTATGCGATACAATTTCAAATTCGGTTCTGGCAACATCACAACAAGATGATATTTTAAGCTACTTATATAGCCGGATCTGTGCTGGTTTTAATTGGCCGCCTCCAGTTTTCCCTTTGTTTTGCCTCCAGCCAGCGCTGTGACGGCACTAAAAGGGTCTTGCCCTTACTCACCCAAACTTGTCAACAAGGAAACTTTTCGAACCTATGAACCTAACTCATGTTTAAACACGGTCTCCATAAGTTAAGTATATCCAAACTTTTAATTAGTAGGCTAGGCCTATTGTTTGTTCTCAAAACATTACATAATAAATGTTAACTTGTACTTATTTGAACAATGCCTAAAACTTGGTATTTCAAGCACTTCCGGTGTCTGTTTGCCTCTTTAAGAAGAATCGCTTTATGTATTCCCCAATTGTGTGTCGCTTTGGATAAAAGCGTCGGCAAAATGACTAAATGTAAATGTAAATTGTTAAAAGAAATTGCATCAAGGCTCAATTAAGGCAATATTTGCCTGTCTCCTCTGAAATGTTTTATTTCACCTAAACACAAAATTCTTAAATTCTGCATATTTTTCCTAATAGAAAATAAGGTAACAGTGATATTAACGTTTCATTTATTATTATTATTATTTTACATCATTGCAGCAACAGCAGAGAAAAAAAAAA